ATCTCAGAATACCCAGTAGATCCATACTCTCAGTAAAGGCCTTCACCCTACCTCAAAAGATTGGTCCAAGAATGTGCACATATTCATTTAAAATTAAAATGTCTACATTATCTATATACAATTTATTATGATTCCCTGGTGCGATATCCAGCCACCAAGATAACCCCAAATGATCCCGCCTCCTAGTCTTTCCACCCTTGTGTAATCTCCTCCCACACTGTGTCAGGGTTGGTCTGTGTGACTAATAGAATATGGCACAAGTGATGGTATGTCCTGTTCAAGTCTAGGTTATAAAAGATACTGTGTCTTTTGCCTTGATATCTCTTGGATTACTCACTCTGGGGAAAGCCAGCTGCTGTATTTTAAAGATACTCAGGCAGCTCTGTTAAGAGGCCCACGTGGCAAGGACCTAAAGCCCCCTGACAACAGCCATGCGAGTGAGCAAATCTTGGAAGCAAATCTTCCAGCCCTAGTCAAACCTTCAGATGACTGCAGTCTCAGGACAGACCCTAAAACCCTGGACCACTAGAATCAGCCGTTCCTAAATTCCCAACCCTCAGAAACTATGGGAGATAATGTTCGTTGTTTAAAGCTGCTAAATTTGGGGATAATTTTTTATGCAGCAATAGATAACAAATGCACCTGCTTTAACCTACTTTTAAAAAAATTATCCATCTGCTACCACATTAAGCACTCAGTCCTTTTTAAAGTCCCTGGGCCTATTCTCTCACAGTGTTATTAAATAAAAGAATTAGCAAATTTCTAGAAGTCACATATTTCAGGTGCTTTCAAATGTCAAAGTTCTTCTCTATATTTAAGTATTAAATAGGTATTATTTCAAATAGCAAATTACAAAAGTTCTGTAATTTCCTATATATAAATATACTTTGTGAAAGCCTTTTGTGACACACATAAGAGACAGTTAAAAGCAAAACACTGAGGTGGTATTTGATATACCAGTTGCCTTGCTGTGGCTTTTAAGTACAGAATAAAAAGCATCATAGAAGGAAGGTTTGCTTTTTTTTTTTTTCCTGTACTGGAATTCAGTCCTTTTCTGCCCAAACGATAAAGGTTACTTAGGGGTTTTTCACTGTTCAAAGGTAGAAAAAAACAAAAAAAGAACCTCATCAGACAGAAGAGCTGAGCAGCCTGATCAAAGATGTCAGTAGCATGAGGAGAGAAAGGGATTAAAGGAGAAGTGGCAGGGTAAAGTATTACAGAATACAGAGTGTAGGAAGAAACACTACATAAAAAATAGAAGTCAAAAGCAAGAACAGTAGGAAAGACAGCTGGATAAACCAAGTGAGTTTATAACGATTTCCAGCAAAGCCCTACAAAGAGTGTAACAATAGGACACTGAGACTCTGGTAGAGGAGTATTTTAGACAAACATAAAAATTCGGAGAGACATGTTTAAAGGGCAAAATATTAAGTTCATGTAGCAGGGTCAACGAGGACGGCATGAGACAACAGGAGGATGGCAGATGACAAAGAAAACAGAAGATGAGACTGAGACATGGATCAGGTTTCCCATTCCATCTCCAACCCTATATCCTTGCTAGGAAAAAATTTAACTCATATTTGTATGGTTCGTTTATTAAGTAATATACTTAAGTTTATGTTTAGTTTCACAGTCTAAAAATATAACTATACATATTTATCTATACTGTACAGGTTTATTCTAAAATAAACCTCCTCATTAAAAAGTCCCAAATCGAGAATACTGTTTTTATAACGAGATAAACCCTTCTCACCATCCGGTGTCTTCAGTGGTGTCCAGGCAGCATCCCTCTCCTTGACTAAATGTATCTGAACCAAGAAGTGGTGGGCAAGGGGCATGTCTGAATAGGGAAGGATGCACGTACATCAATAAGATAAATTTATATTGTGTTTGATGGCAATTTTAACCAAAACACTTTAAATTATTAATAAAAAACCACAAGTACTTTGCCTTTATTGATCACAAAACTGTTTTCTCTCCCAGTTAGTACATAAAGAAAACATACTTTTACACTTGATTTCAGTATTTCTGCAGCGTTCTGTATTCTCCATGCCTGTATATGTGGTCTTATGGAGACTGAAAGCTCCCATAAGGTAGGTAGGGTTTGCTGAGACAAGTGTGACCTTGCAAATATATATAAGCATTGGATAAAATATTCAATACATCAGCAAGATGTACCATCACTTTTTTATTTGGCAGAAGTAGAAATACAGCCATGTTACAGTGCTCATTTTGGCTAAAGAGCCAGTGCTATTTTTTTCTGCTACTGTAGTGTTTCACTTTTACATAAATTAATAAGTGCAGTCCTTACATATAGGAAATAGACACATTTACTGATATCAGCCAAGTAAAGCTAATACACGGTTGTTCTCAAACTAAGCAAAACAATAACATAATATAATCATTAGGAACAAAGAAAGGATGCCCTTATTTCCATTAATCATAGACTATACAAATTCTTAAGTCTCACATACAGAGGTATTTCTAAATTTGATTAATCCAAGAAAAAAAAATATTTTTAAATTCAGCCTAATTCTTACAACCACTTTGAAATATATATTCCAAATAATTTCCTAATATGTGTTCATATTAAAATAAAAGCAAATTATGTTATGAACATAATTTTAAATTTCTAATTATGAAAGGTCACAGAGAAGTATGTTAAATGTTACTTTGGCATTCCTATCTCACAGGTTTAAAGGAATGATAAACTAAATAATTCTTTTGTAATGAAAATAATCACTCCCTAGATAATCATTTAAGTGGAAAATATTACATCTTAAGGCAAGAAAAAGTTTGTAAATATTTTTTATGAAGTCAGTTAATTCAACAAATTAATAGAATCACAATAAATATATACAAATAAAAAAATTCTTTATGAGAAGGAAAAAGTTCTTTGGAGCTGACTATAACACTATGAAAAACTTGCCTTCATTTTAAAAAGAATCTCATTTTCACATTTAATGAACATATCACAATCCTGCAAGAATAAATAACTAGCCTTTTAGTTGAACAAAGATGTAGAGAAACCAAAATAGAAAAAAAAAAAACATCAAATATAAATCACCTGAACACTTATATTTTTTCTTCCAGAAAACAGGAGGAAAAAAAATCCATTTTCTCATGATTAATTCAAGGTCCTCTTATAATTCACATAGGGAAGTAGATGGTAGAACTCACGGTGGCAAAGGCAATATTCTGATAATACTACCATAAAGAAGTGTTAAATAGGGTTTTATCCTAAAAGGCTCTGGACTAATTTACTTACTTTTTATTTTTTAAAACTGCTTTTAACCCAATTTCAAGGCAAACTGAAACTGGAACATACACCTCAAGTACTCTTCAGTGGTCAGAAACATTTTTAAGAGCTTTTTCTTTAGAAAGGTCAAGTTTCTTCCCTTATAATATAGAGGGTTTTTTCTATACCTATTACCTTGAAAGTCTATTTGGTCATTCTTGTCTCTTGAGTCAAAGGCCACATAGAAAGCCTCTTACTAAGGTAGTAGCTTCTGAACTGACCAGAAACTAATCAACCTCAAGCACTGAATTTGAGGTTCATGTGCTCTTAAATATGGGCAATTCCTTTTTTTTTTTTTTTTAAGGTGAAGTGTAAAAGAAAAAACACCTTCTGGAAAGCCATTCATCTTACCTGATGAAATAAATTTCCCAGAGTTGTTTCATGTACTAGCAGCATTATTAAATAGTGCAATTCTTCAAAACAGATTTCAAACAATATCCTCCTCAAATAAAAAAAGTAATTAAGTTTACTTATAGCTTTGTTTATAAAACCACAGCTTAAAACATTCAGCCCCCCAAACAGGAAAATTAACATAAGCAATAACTATCTTGCTTGTACAATGATGGGAATAGCTGTGTGCACACGTGTGTATGTGTGTGAATCATTCAAGGCCGGTGGTACCTCAACAAGAAACCAAAATACAGGATACAAATTAAAAAGTAAAATATTACATAATGGAATTTTTAGTTTTGATACCTCTAAAGATACTCCTCCATCAACAATAAGAATTATGAACAGCCAAGTATTAAATTAAGAATATATGTAATATGTGTAAGAAAAGTCAAGGAACTATATACTCAAAAAATATTAGAGCACTATTTCATATTGTTTAATGTTGTAACCTATACATTATGGAACACAGTACATGCGAACAGCATAAAGGTTCTGAATGTCCTATTTTGTAACTAATATTACATAAATTTGGCACATATATAAACTTAAAACCTTAAAAGACTATGCTTCTTTCCCCACTTTTCATTTTCTATTCATTCATCAGAAACTAGGCACTTTAAAAATGCACTTAAAAAAAATATATTTTAGATCCTTATGGATAATTCACTCCTAAAATGAATAAAGCCCACTTTAGGAGCAAAATCAACAAATCTAATCCATTGTTTTACTCAGACAGCCACTCTAAATAAGTGGCATATGATTTACACACAAAATTAATAAAACTCTGACAGTATCTAATATACTCTGAAGAAGCTTATTCATATGAACAACCCACTTGTTCATATATCTATCATAAAGGACAGGAAACATACTTCCATACCATTAAAAAATATTTTGTTCTATATTCGGGGAAAAAACCTTCAAGACCTCCCTAAGATTCAAAGTATCAATGAATAACTTAAAAATATGGTTATAATATGACAAATTCTCAGTGTGCTAAGTTCTCTGTAGAAACAACTAAAAGCCAGTTTTGCATAAGGAGAAAGAAGAAATGATTTTACTGTATCAAGATTAATACCCTAGAATGTTGGGAGATAGTCTCAAAACTACATGGAAAATTTTTAATTGCCTGTCATAGTTAATAAATGTTACATTTTTAATCAATATTCATTCAAGGGAAATGTTCTAATCTATACCAAGATAAAAGAAATTTCTTCAGTCTCTCTATTGTAACATAGGACCAACTGTAATGTATTTTGGAAACTTCAGTAAATCTAATATAAACTTGTAACTTGTAAACTTCTCAGTGGCAATTTGTTTAAATGTTCTGTAATGATACTTGGCTATTACAATTTCTTTGATTCAAATACTTAAGCAAATGCACAAGCAATAACATAAGCAGTACGTATTAAACACCACTACTGCCTAAACTTGATTAAACAACAAATAACTTTACAATTAAAAATACATTTTCAGGCAAATTTAACTTTGTTGACACTAGGAGTAATATATTCTTGCATGTGCGGGCCATAAAAGTCTTGGCTAAAGTATATATATTCCAGGTGCAAAGCATAAAAACAAAGCTTTTGAGAATGAAACTGGACATTTCAGACAGCTTCAAGACAACAAATCAATTAACTCCCAAGTACTGGTTTCAATTCAAGCAGTATTTCTATAAAACATACATTTCACAAATATTATTACCTCAAGATTAAAACAAAAGCACTTTGGATACACTACATGGGGATTCAATGACAGAACTTCTGTGTACATACAGTACAATCACTCATTCTTTACTACGTTTTTTTTTCCTCCCTGAGTCCATATCCACCAACTCTGTGTAATATATGTTACAAAATCAATAGTTACCTTAAAATATTTCATAGCACACTGAAATTGTCTGATTTTTATGGTACTTATTGTACTTTGGCTTCTAATAGGCCACTGGGCATAACATGACTGTGACTACTTATACAGCTACTTGTATGCCTCAGTGCATCAGCTCCAAGATAGGCCATTAAAAGTTCAGTTCGGCGAATAAGCAACTGCATGAGGTCTTCAGCCAAAGTCTCTATACTGGAGTAGCGCACCTTCTCAAAATCAAAAATGTCTTTGAGAAAGAAAAGAACTTGATTCTGGAAAATGAACACAAAACAAATTGGCACTTATTAGACCAAAATTATATTAAAACTAAATAGTTACTAATATTGTAACAAACAATGAATTAGGGGTCAGTTCCACTACTAATTTCAAATCTCAATAGAAAAGGAACCTTGAACAAGTGATTAAACCTTTTTGGGGAGTCTCATTTTCTTTTTCTGTAAAATAAGGGATAATTACTACCTGCCATTTTTACTACTCAGGGCTGATATAATGATTAAAAAAAAAACTTGGGAGGGTGGGAGGGAGATGCAAGAGGGAGGAGATATGGGGACACATGTTTATGTATAGCTGATGCACTTTGTTAATACAGCAGAAACTAACATTCCATTGTAAAGCAATTATACTCCAATAAAGATGTTAAAAAAAAAATCTCTGGGAAATGCTGGTAAATACTAAATCACTGTATAAACCTAAGGGGCTATCAGTCCTTTCCCAATAATTGAAGTTTTCATTGTTACCTATGAGCACTGGTACTACTTTAAGACAGAAAAGTAAACTATTTCCAATAATTATAACTTATAAATTTCAAATGTTTATTTTTCTGTACCAAAAATGACTTAAGACATGTGAAAAATAAAAATAATTTCAGGTCTCAAATCAGTGGAAGATCGTGAAGGATATTTCACTTCAGTAACTTAATACTTATGCTGAAACCCATTTTAAGCAACTTGTATACTACTAAGTCTCAGGTTGTTATGCCATGATGGAAAACAAAGTAATTCCAAAGAACAAAAAAACAGGAATATTTAATTTCTATCCTACAGAAATCAACTGTTAAGAAGTACTAAGAAGGCACAGTTCATAGATTTCATTGGATTTTATATCTGGAAGGGTTGCTGGCAACCAACCTGTATGGTCCCCTCATTTTATGAAGAGAAGGAGGACAAAGCATGATTTGCCCACACTCAGAGTGCTCATTAATGGCATACTTAATTCCCAGTCCAAACCTTTCCCTCTAAATACATACCTTACACTTGAGAGGTCAAGTAAATTAATCAAAAATTGAATTTTCAATGACAGGAAAAAAAAAAATGTCCTAAACCATTTACATAAATGCTACATTAACGGCACATAAGCAAAATAATTTAATTTTTTAAGTGAAGGGTATAGAGAAACATCCAAAGTTTCAAACATCAAAAACTTTCAAATTCATACTTGATTATGTTTACTTTTATTTGCTCCTTGAAACTCAGCCTAAATTCAGGACTATTAAATAGTGAGACTTTTCTTGGCACTGTGCCAGGCAGAAATTTCTGCAACAAGCTGCAACTTGTGTTTTGGTAAATTTAAACTGCTGACTTTGGAATACAATTTTAAACTCCCACCTTATTTCTCACAGCTGGGATTTTATCATTCATATTACCTTTAACTAGAACTTATTTCTAAATTGCCACATGTGCAATAAAGACAGATATTATTTGTTTTACAAATTTCAGAAGTGTCCAGGCATGCAGAACTGTCTATAGCAATTTGTTTAACATTGTAACACATATGAGAACATGTACACACTACAGAAGGAACTGATAAGGTGAATGGACTTGTTGAATCTTCTCCAGGATAAAACACCAAATCTATATAATACTGTTTCACTGGCATGGGTGACTTTTATAATCTTACATTTAAATAACATTCTTCTACCAAACGAAAACCAAACAGAATAAAACTTTATCCGTTTTTCAGTTTAGAAAAAAGAAATGATTCAATGACTGAACATACCTTAAAGAAGCAACATAAGTCATAGAGAGAATTTCTAGGACCCAAAAAACCCCAGGCTAGGACAGGACTGATGTGCTCACAAATGGCATAAAAATGGGCAAAAAATCCATCTGGGATCTGTTACGAAGTAAAGGAGAATCAAGTTATTTTTACCTTCTTGCTTTTGCTTGCTATCCATCATATGACCAGCTCTTTTTGAGGACAGACCAAGGGTCAATGATAAGCTAGCCTAATAAGACAGTTAATACACTTAACAAGTAACTGTTAGAGTCACAGAATGCTTTAAGTAGATTTCATATGCTAGCCAACAGTCTCAATTTGCTGAAAACATTATTTCTTAAAGGAATTTTTACCTCATAAAAAAGCAATCACATTGCTGTATCCAAGCAATAACAAGAATGCTACAATGTTCCTTAGCAGTATAATTTTTAGGATGAATGAGACCAACATGGTTTTAGCTAGTTCAGTAGAATTTAAGAAATTCTACTCAATCACTTAATTATATTATCTGAAAAAGACTGAAATGAATTTTTAATTGATTAAGCACAAAAATATGTTTACTAGAATTCTAACTTTTAGTTAAGGAACCAGATATTATTGAAGCATTTAATTAGGCAATGCACCTTCTTGTGAAATAGTAATATATACAGTTGTGATTTAGGAAACTCTCTAAGTTTATTAATAACTTTCTAAATTTCCTTTGTTAAATAACATCCTGTGAGATTTTGTCATAGCATCTACTGGGGATAAGTATGCCTTAAGATCCTGTCTCTTGGAGGAGTTATCTTCTATTTTACAGGCTCCAAGACATCTTTTAAACCTCAAATTAAAAATATATTATAACAGCAGTTACCATTTAATGAGTACCCACTATATATCAGATAATATGCTAGGTTCTATTTAATTTAATAAAACGTTTCTGAAAAATTAGGTCATGTTAATATCATTTTAACATGTAAAAAGTGAGACTTCAGAGGGGTTAAAAAACCTATCCTGGGCTTCCCTGGTGGCGCAGTGGTTGAGAGTCCGCCTGCCGATGCAGGGGACATGGGTTTGTGCCCCGGTCTGGGAGGATCCCACATGCCGCGGAGCAGCTGGGCCCGTGAGCCATGGCCGCTGGGCCTGCGCGTCCGGAGCCTGTGCTCCGTAACGGGAGAGGCCACAACAGTGAGAGGCCCGCGTACCGCAAAAAAAAAAAAAACCAAAACAAACAAACAAAAACCTATCCTAACTCACATACAGCTAGTTAGTAAAGGCCAAAAAGTTTACACGGACTGTAGTCTAAGAGATGTTCTGCATATATTAAAATTCTAAATCCCATACTTATATTAACTATATATATTAACTATAATAGGAATTCAGACAGGTATGAAGTTAGCATAGGCTGAAGCAGAAGAGTCATGCTTCACCAAGGAATAACGTGAACTGAAACAGTAGGTAAAATTTATTTAAGTAGACAGGATAGAGTATGACATTCCAGGATAGGAAATAGTTCCCCAAGACGTAAGATATACAGCTATCTGTGGATACAGGAAGAATATTAGTCCAAGGCATGAGATTTATACTAAGAAGTAAGAAATAAGGTTAGGTATAATGATAATAATATTACTATCATTATTATTATGTAAACTACTACTTATTGAACTCTTTTTCATATTTACTGTTAATTTTATGTTTTATCTCATTTCATCTTTACAGCAGCTCTATGAGGTAGGTATTAACTTCATTTTGCAAACAGGAAAACTGAAGGTCAGCTGACAGTAACTTGCCTATGATCATAATAGCTAGTGCGAAAATCAAACCTAAGTCTACAAGTCTGTTCCCCAGCCCTAAACCAGTGGTTCTCAGACGTTAGAGTTTCTAATCATTTGGGGAGCTTGCTAAAAACACAGGGTCTTTAGAATCATTTTTTATACAATCTTTAAAGGTTACATTCCATTTACAGTTATTACAAAATATTGGCTATATTCCCCATGTTGTACAATACAACCCTGTACAACATCTTTGAAACAAGAATTATGCAAATACATGGTTTCCAGAATTATTTTTAACAAGCACCTTCTGCAGATGCTGTGAGAACTATGCTCCAGAAACACTGCACTTGGCAATACTATCTCAAAGGTATAAGGCTCAGACTTAGAAATATGGACATGACAAAATACTGTAGGTCAGTGGGCAAATGATAATAAAATAATAATAACCTACAGGTGCATAATGCACTGTGTCAAGCACTGTTCTAAGACACTACATTTAATCCTCAAAAAACCCCATGAGGTGGAAACTATGCTCCTCTTTAGAGATGAGAAAACTAAGGCATAGAGAAGTCAAGACTTGCCTGAGGTCATAGCTGGTAGGTGGCATCTGAACTCAGGCAGCCTCACCCCAGAGTCCATCCTCCTTTACCACAGGAGTGTACGTGAGAGCAGTGTGTGGTGGGTGAGATAGCCTGGAGGGTGCGGAGCGTGCGAGCAGGATATGACTTTGAGATGTTTTTTGGTAGGCACTCTCAGTTGAATAAACCAGCTAATCAATCATCATTTCTCAACTGGATTACATGAAGTGGAATCCACTATGCTAAACAATTTTTTTTTTTTTTTGCGGTACGCGGGCCTCTCACTGTTGTGGCCTCTCCCATTGCGGAGCACAGGCTCCAGACGCGCAGGCTCAGCGGCCATGGCTCACGGGCCCAGCCGCTCCGCGGCATGTGGGATCCTCCCACACCGGGGCACTAACCCGTGTCCCCTGAATCATCGGCAGGCGGACTCTCGGCCACCAGGGAAGCCCTAAACAATATTTTTAATCTTAAAATATCATTAAGTGAAAAAACAAAAAAAAAGTCTATTAGCGCTGTTTGAAACTTTAAAAACAAAGAAGACAACCCAGTGCCAAAAGATCACTCATCTAGCTTGAGGGACAGTGCTTATGAGCTGCCATCCCCCGCTGAGAACTGACTCACAAGTTTCTTTGACAGGAGCTTCAAATTACTTTACAGAGGACTCCAAGACATAATGAATTTTACCTTCATCTGTTGCCTTTTCTGTTTCAACACTGACCAACAACTTGAAGCCACAGCCTAAACATATACAGAGGAGAAAAAGCAAGATTTAAATTTAGAACTATATAAATTTTCCATTTAGAAAAGAGTGACTTTAATTAGAAATTCAAAGTTTAAAGATCTAAAATGTTTAAAACATTAACTAAAAAGAAACAGTCCATGCTCCTTCTATTGTTTGTAAATATCAATGAAAAGATGCTTATAAATTTTAAAATTAAATACAAAGCCACTAAAAGAAAAAGGGTGGACTCTGGTGACAAGGAACTTGGTAATTATAGTTCAAGTAATATTTTTTTCTTCAAGAATAGTAGTGCTGGAAATAGCTGTGAGTTGAACCAACAGTCTTATTCAAATAAAGAACTAAGAAACATAACCATAATGACAGGGACAAAAACACCCAAGTGGATCCTGAAGGAATCTGACCCTACTCTGGCATGACCCCACTTCGATCAACGTCACTGTCCCAAATCAGTTACAGAAATGGAGACATGTATCTTTTATGGTTAAAACATACTTTGAAGGAAAAGTATTATAATATATATATATTTTTTCCTCCAAAAATATATATATCGTCTTTTCACTGAAATTGCTATATTTGTTTAGTCATAGAGCCATTTCAGGTACAGATAATTTTTTGTTAGGCCTGAACTAGTTTGAAACCCAAGTGTTTTTTTGAGATCTGAAGAAATATTGGGTCCTTCAGGTCAAGGCAGGGACTGACAGAAGAGCCAAAAGGAAAATTTCATCTTCAGATGTTATATATCATACACATCTGATCCCAATATCAAAGAATGAGCTCAGTTTCCATAACAGTCGTTCTACAGGCAGACACACATATATAAATCTTATTCATCTTCCTATTTTTTTAAAAAAATATATTTATTTATTTGGCTGTACTGGGTCTTAGTTGCAGCACACGGGATCTTTTAGTTGTGGCATGTGAACTCTTAGTTGCAGCATGTAGGATCTAGTTCCCTGACCAGGGATCGAACCTGGGCCCCCTGCATTGGGAGTGCGTTGTCTTAACTGCTTGAACCACCAGGGAAGTCCCCATTTTCCCAATTCTGACTAATTTTCATCAAATTTAAATGGTTGAGAAAGGTAAACCACCACTTACGGTTTCTTTGAAGGAGGAGTTTAGCCAGCGATTATTTACTACATTCTGTATGGATGTGGGTGGGTTTTCTAAATCTTCAAAGGAATCCATTAATATAAAATCCAAAACAACATCATAAAAATTTAGATTTTTCACCTGCATTAAATTATAAGTTAAAACAGAAATTATTACTACATAGAGCTGAAATGAAGTCTGAGCCAGGGCTTCATACTGATACATTACAACAGCAGTACATTTTTAGTTGAATCAGATTATATCTCTGACAAAAACAGAGGAAGAAGAGAGACAACTATGAGAACAACTCACCACCAGAAATTATAATTCACGTGACAGCTGTTCCCTCCTAGATTCTATCAGGTGAAATTAATCTCTCCCTCCACTCTATTCTAGGAGTTCTTTGTTCATGCTTTTATTGGGTTGGCCAGAAAGTTTGTTTGGGTTTTTCCATAAGATGTTAAGGAAAAACCCGAACGAACTTTTTGGCCCACCGAATATTATGGTATCCACATGCTCATTCTGTTCTGTCATTTAGTTATTGGTATATCTGCCTGTCTTCCCCACCACATCATGAACCTCTCGCTCTTTCATTCATTCATGCAAATTGTATTGTACTACATGCTGTACCAGGTGCTGAGACTTCTACAGTAAGCAAACTATATGCTTAGAGGTTAGTGGGGAAAGGACAGCAATAAATAATTCCACAAATACACAATTAAAACTGTGATAAGCACAGTAAAGGAAAAAGTACACGGTACTATGAAAGCTTATGATGGAGCTTCTAATCTAGACTGGATGTCAGTGAGGGCTTTTTTCAAGGAGTGAGGCAAGCCAAGTACATGAAATACCTTGTCAAAGACTTGAAGGTAAGAAAGAACAGAGTGATGTGGAGCCAAAGAGTATCACTGAAAGTGTGCCACAGCTCTCTACAGCAGGGGGGCGAGTGCCTAGAGACAGGAGGAAGGGCCAGCTCCCGCACAGTTTATGGCACATGTTAATGACTTTGGATTTTATCCTCACAGTATCTTGGGGGGTAGTGGTGGAGGGGAGATGGATGATCAGATCTTCTTTTTTAATCTTCGGTACCTCATGAATCTATTTCATTTTTTTTTCCAGTTTCAGTGAGACATAATTGACATACAACACGGTAAAAGTTTAAGGTGTACAGTATAATGATTTGACTCACATACATCATGAAATGATTACCACAGTAAGTTTAGTGAACACCATCATCTCATATAGATACAACATGAAAGAATTAGAAAAAAAAATTGTTTTCCTTGTGATGAGAACTCAGGATTTACTCTCTTAATGACTTTCATATTTATACAGCAGTGTTCATTATCTTTAATGTGTTGTACATTACATCTGTAGTACTTATTTATCTTATAAGTGGAAGTTTGTACTTTTTGACCACCTTCATCCAATTCCCCTTCCCCTGACCCCCTGCCTCTGGTAGCCACAAATCTGATCTCCTTTTCTATGATTATGTTTGTTTGTTTTTGAAGTATAATTGACCTACACTATGTTAGTTCCTGGTATACAACACAGTGATTCAATGTTTCCATACATTTCAAAATCATCAACATGATAAGTCTAGTCTAGATATTACACAGTTATTGACTATATTCCCCACACAGTACATTTCATACCTGTGACTCACTTATTTTATACCTGAAAGTTTGTACCTCTTAAATCTCCCTCACCTATTTCTTCTCCTCCCTCCATCCCCCTCCCATCTGGCAATCACCTGTCTGTATCTATGACTCTATTTCTGTTTAGTTAAGTTTGTTCATTTGTTTTGTTTTTTAGATTCCACATGTGAGTGAAATCATACAGTATTTGTCTTTCTCTGCCTGACTTATTTCACTCAGCATAATACCCTCTAGGTCCATCCATGTTGTCACAAATGAGAAGATTTCATTTTTTTTTTATGGCTGAGTAATATTCAGATTTGTATTGCTCAAGACGTTTTGGCAGAAATGTGGAGAGCAGAACAGAGAGGAGGAAGAGTGAACGCAAGGGGGAGATGAGCAGGCAAGAAACTGGGGAACGCAAAACGCTGGGGTAGCCCAGGGGAAAACAACAGTTACTCAGACTACCACGGGGCGGGCAGCACCAGAGAAAAGCTGCAGAAACTGAAAGATATATAGGAGTTAAATTGACAAAACTTAGAGATGAATATGATAAAGTAGGCAAGGACCAGTGACGTGTAAAGGATGAGTCCCAGGTTTCAGGCCTGCGCAACTGAACGGATGCCAATTCCTTCACTGAGTGAGGGAACACCAGAGAAGCAAAGATCGTGCCTCCGTGTTTCTGCACCTACTGTTTTCTCTGCCTAGAAAGCCTTTCAGTCCCTTGCAAACTCATTCTTTTAGCTTCCATAACAACAAAATATTCCAGGCTTATCATGTGCTTTCTCTAACTCAGTGCAGAAATCAGCCATTTTTCCAAGAAGTACTAGTTCCTTTTAGTGGAGAGTGGTACTTAGAAGTTAAAATCTGTGTGCTAGGAATAATTTCTTTTGAGATGTTTCTGCTCCCAGACCCTCTCAGTGAATAGAGCTAGGAAGTTTATGTGTGTTTATGTATATGCAAACCTTTCTGTTTATTTCCCTATCTATCTATCTATATTGTAAACTATGAATTCACACTGACAGCTCCAATTCCAATCCTAGCTTTTTTATACCTCCCTTCTCTGACAGTGAGCTATCTGGCTCTGATCATTCTTAATGTATTTAATTGTTTGTTTGATCCTGTGTATGCAGCCAATTCCCTGGCCCCACTGAGCTGCCACTGTCCTACCTGAAACCATCCTTGCACAGGCTACCGTTACCACCCTGCTGGGGCCTGCTCATTGACTTCTGGGTGGAAGAGAGGGAGAGAAGGAACGAAGGGCTTCCTAAAAAAATAGTATTTTCACCTGCTGCCTCAATGTATAAAGACTGTGGTTGCTCTTGTTTCTGACTCTGTCATAGCCACCGTCACACAATTGGTTTTACTGTCATTTAACAAGGACAAGGAAACAGTGGCCTCAAATTATGTAAATATTCTGAGTAAATAACTAAGGGGGACAACTATTATAAAAAATTTGAACTTACTCCTCTAGCAGCAAGTTCCATTTCAGTACTATCCCAGTGATCAGTCTGCTCTAAAAAACAGATCATTTCATCAAAAACATCTTCAAACTTCTTCGGATTCTGTAGAAGAAAACACACTTTAATCCTAAGCCCAACTTTATAACAAGGCTCAAGCCTACAAAGTAAATAAGTTACTCTTCAAGTAAGTTTGTTAGATTTTCATTCTATTAGGTAACTGAATTAAAACGCACTTTCAAGGGATGCCATATTCATTTGATATAATATTTTGTTAGTCCAACATTTTGCAGAAGCCAAGACTAAGAATGTAAGTAAAATGTCATAAGCAAACTGCTTACTACTCAAATACGTGTGCTTATTTAGGTCAGTCCTTAAGATGAAAACTCCGTTACAGCAGATACTACGCAATGCTTTCGATGTACTTCTACTCCTTTTGGAGGAACTCTAGTTCAAATCAGTGGGTTTATCTGCCTTGGGAAGGCCAAGAAAGCAACATAAGATTTACACTGGGTTTATTGTCTTTCTAGTGGTAGCAATTTGATAGGCAGACAAGCTATTGTGTTGTTTTAATTTTAATTTCTTTGACTATAATGCTATGGAACTTTTTCATATAATCATTAAACATTCTGTTTCTTGTTAAAAAAAAAAGATTTACATTGGGAATTGCAAGTAGGTAATACCACCCTAAATTTATGTTGTATTTTTTAAAAATTTGCTTTCCCATTTATCATTTATTTAATCATCGTAAGAACTCTCTGAAATAGGGTACCATAAATAAATTCTATTCTACAAATGAGGGAACTGAGGTTCAAAGGGACTGGGTCTGAAAACCAGGTGTTCAAAGGGCTCAGAGAAAGTCTGGTTTTTGTTTTGTCCCTCATCATCTGGACACAACCTGCATAAAGGAAAGTGGTTCCTCATAGTCTTCATAAAGTTCTTGCCATTGCTTCTGCCTCTGTCAGTCCCATGAAGATTAGTAAGAGGCAGCTCAATTTGTATTTCCAGATTTCTGAGATCTATTCTACTTCCTGGAACCTTCTTACTGAACAGGACTGAGAGACGTTAAGAGAAGAGGTATTAGAAATAACAATGGTGGTGGCTGTAGTAGCAGATCTAATGATAATTCTTACCACGACATTCACAAGTTTTATGGCAAATTGAGAATAATTTATCAACTTGATCAAAACAGTGCAAACTTTATACAAAGAAAATAAATGAACCCAAGTAGAAATCAATGCTCTTTGGGCTACTTATTTATTTATTTTTTGGCCATGCCACGTGGCATGAGGGATCTTAGTTCCCCAACCAGGGATCAAACCCATGCCCCCTGCAGTGGAAGTGTGGATTCTTCACCACTGGACTGCCAGGGAAGTCCCTGGGCTATTTATTTTCAATATGTGAACCTTTGTAACCATCTACAAAAACATTTTCTTCTATTAAAAATTTAATGCATCTTAATCTTCAGCTCAACTGAAATAACAACAATAAAAAAACCTGCCAACAAAACAAGTTTACCTTTCGCGCTTTTACAATTAACGCTGATAAAATTTTCCTCCCACTTTCAGCAAGGAATATCCTGTTGGCTGTTTCTGAAAGAATTACCTGAAAAATATCCATCCCCAAACAAAGAAAAATGAGACCTATAATTAATTTGAATGGACATTTGACTTTATAGCATATCTATGCATAAATAATCCAAATACAGTCAATACATGGCATGTGACTCTATTTCAGCAGGCAGACCACAGAAAAGGTCCTAAGTTACTAAAATATAAATAGCTCTTGAGGGCTTCCGTGGTGGCGCAGTGGTTAAGAATCTGCCTGCCAATGCAGGGGACACGGGTTTGAGCCCTGGTCTGGGAAGATCCCACATGCCGCAGAGCAACTAGGCCCAAGCGCCACAGCTTACTGAGCCTGCGCTCTAGAGCCCGCGAGCCACAACTACAGAAGCAGCCCATACTCCACAACAAGAGAAGCCACTGCAGTGAAAAGCCTGCGCACCGCAAAGAAGAGTACCCCTACTCGCCGCAACTAGAGAAAGCCCGTGCGCAGGAACAAAGACCCAACGCAACCAAAAATAAATAAATAAATAAAACAAATAAAATTTTTTTTAAAAAGAAAAATACTTAAAAAAATAACTCTTGAACATATAATAAAAAAGATTAAAGGGAGATAAATATGAATTTAAATTCTGTTCAATTTCATATTAGAAAATCCAAAATAAATATTATACAACTCCAAAACATAGAAAAATAAAGATAATTTTGTTGTTAAATGACCTTATTTCATTTTAGGAAATTGATGATTTCACATCTGATTCAAATAAAAACATTCTAGAACACATACTAATTGACAGTAAGAAAAAGGATCTATATTTTAAGCAGCAATTTATACACATACATCTTTAGCATCAAAATATTCTATTTTGACAAAATGTGGTAGATCCAGGAAGTTATAGCAGAGGATGACAAATGAAGACAAATGAAGGGAAACAGCAGGCAGGAAAAATAAACTTAGCAGACTTTTTATTTGCCAATAGGAATAAGGATAATAAAGAGCAAAGGGCTGTCCTGTTTATATGCAGCTGGACACTATGGCATGAGGGTGGGGATGAGTGGCTGGGTGAAGTCACTTACTGTTAAAAAGAATACCTGAAAAGCCTGTCGAATACAGTGAAGTTTGGCAAGAAAATCACTGTCTCCTAGGCACTCCAACATTTCAGTTCTAAGTAATAAACAGGGGAGACAACTGTTAAAGTGCATTTAAGATCAAGCCTACTACAAATTTGGACTCGAACAAGGCTTAACCTCGGGACCTTAATAAAAAAACACATGTCTTTTCAGTACTGACAAAACATGTAAAAAAAAATTTTTTTGAGCCTAAAAACATATTTTCCTCTATTCTAATAAATATTTTTAACAAATATCAGACAAACATAGCAATAGCATCTTAATATTTTTTATAAACATAAGCATGATACCTAAGCACTCTTGAGTAAATTTTTCCTTCTTCAACTAAATGCATGGCCTCTTCGTAAAAAGGGCAGTGGCAAAGAGACTCCAGACTGTAGATATGCTGTACTTCTTTGTGTTCTGCAAGCTAAGAATACAGTGGGTTAAAACAGACTACACTGATACGAGAAGAAAAACTATAAAAAATAGAAAATAGGATCTTGCTAATATTAAAATATACTCAGTTTTATTAAAATGTGAAAATAATTCAGTAAGATTTTATAGCTAGTAAGATCTGAATTCACTTTATTTCAAAATTCAGTTGTAAAAAAAGAGTAAAACTTTATAACAAGCTTAGTTAATTTTGAATACAACTACAGTTCACCAACAAGAAAAACTGATGATGAAGCATTGAAAAAAAAGAATTTTATCATCCAAAGAATGCTAAAAAGTATTATAACTCATGATTGTAAATAAAGTTTTCTACAAAAACACTGTAAACACTGGCTAATTCTAGGGAATTTTTTTTTATATGTAGCTTCGACTAACCTTTGTATAACTGAAGAATAGTCATGTACCTATGGCTAGCATAAAAACTCTACAAATGAAATTCCAGCCTTCTGATAGTTCATTAAAAAACAACAAATTTGTTGTACAGCAAAAACTAACAAAACATTGTAAAGCAATTATACTCCAATAAAGATGCGACAAAAAAGAAAATGATGACAAAAAAGAAAAAACACTGCAAACACTATAGAGTTGCCAGCTAACAGGAAAACTCTGGAGTGATTTTATTTTTCAATACCAGGTGATCCATTTAAGTGGGACGCTGTAGAGGTTTTTTGTTTGTTTTTAATTACAGCTTTACTGAGAGATAACTCACATACCATAAAATTCACCCATTTACGTGTACAATTCAGTGGCTTTTTAGTATATTCACTGGGTTGTACAATCAGCACCACTTTCCAATTTCAGAATATTTTTACTATGCCAACAAGAAACCTTCTGCCCATCAGCAGTCACTCCCTATGCCCCTTTCTCTCTAGGCCCGGGAAACCAATAATCTTTCAGTGTCTATGGAATTTCCCACTCTGGAAACTTCACATAAATTGAATCAAGTAATACACGGCATTTTGTGTTTGGCTTTTTTCACATAGCATAATGTTTCCAAGGTTCATCTATAATGCAGCATATATCAGTACTTCATTCTTTTTAATGGCTGAATTGTAGGGATATACCACATTTTGTTTATCCTTTCCTCAACTGATAGACTTGTGGGTTGTTCCCACTTTTTGATAATCATGAATAAGAAAGACTGCTTTGAACATTTATGTACAAGTCTTTTATGTTTTCAATTCCCTTGAGTATATACCTAAAAATGGAAGTGTCAGATGGTAACTCTATGTTTAACTTTTTGAGGAAACTGTTTTGCAAAGTGGCTGCACCATTTTCCATTCCCACTAGCAGTGTATGATGATTTAAATCTTTTCACACCTCTGCCAACAATTGTTATAGGCCATCTTTTTTTATTATAGCCACCCTAGTGGGCGTGAAGTGGTTTAAATTTCTCTAATGACTAATGATGTAGAACATCTTTTATCTCCTTATTGGCCCTTGTATATCTTCTTTGGAAAAATGTCTGTTCAAATCCTTGGCCCATTTTTAAATTGGGTTATTTGTCTATTTGTTGTTGGGTTGTAACAGTTCTTTATATATTCTGGATATAAGACCTTTATCAGATACGTGATTTTCAAATATTTTCTCCCAGTCTACTGTCTTTTCACTTTCTTGGTGTCCTTTAAAGCACAAAAGTTTCTACTTTTGATAAATGCCAATTAATTGTTTGTTTTCTTTTGTCTGCCTTAACTTTTTCTTTTGTGTAGAGCATCAAGGTTGGCCAGAGGTGAGAGGTTAGGGACTTCTAAGGTCTTTCCTGGACACATGCATAGCCCTGCACATGCTTATGGCCTTCTAGAGTCTCAGAAATACACTGGAGCTTTTCAAAGCTCCCTATAAACATCTCATTGCCCAATTTTTCCTTTTAAAAATTGGGCAATGAGGCAGCTCCCGTGTTAAACAATTACCACTGATATTTTTCAACAAAGCCTCTAGGGATAGAAATTTTGCACAGAGCAAGCTCTAAGTCAGGTCAAATAAAGACAAGTCCTGAGAATGGAGCTTTGCAAGGAGCTGCCATACAAGCCAAATAGTGACGATTCTCTAGTGATGGGACTTTTGGGAAGCTCCAAAGCCATTAAGTTTCTTCCAGTGGCTGCTGAGCCCCTGAATTTCACAGTTACCATAGATAGTTATGAAGCTGCTGGTTTTCAAGACTACTGTGGAGAGAGGGCTAGAAATAAAACAAAGACACATGCCCTCTACTTGATTTAATCCCTAGGAAATTGAGGACTCTGGCAATTAACTCCCAAACTGGGGCATGTGGTCCCACTCTTTAGCACACACGTCTGAGACCCAGGACAGGACCTACAGCCTTGGCACCAGTCCCCAGCCCACACCTGAATTCTGTTGGTTTTAGGACAATAAGTTGTGGGTAATTTATTACATAGCAACAGATAACTAATATAACAGTGGAAATAATACTAAGAGCAAAAGGAAGACACACAGATTTCCAAACACTGGAAAGCAAATGGAAGCGTGTAGACAGATGAAAGAGATGAGGAAGCCATAGTCCAGAATAAGTTCAAGAGGGGATACAGTCAAAGAGGAGACATTTGCTAAGCAGAGCCTCAAAGAGAACCAGGCTCACAGTGAGCAGGTATGAGGGCAGGACTGAAGAAGAGGGATTGAAAATAGTAGTTTAAATGAAAGTCTGTCCAAACAACTATAGTTGTCCTATATCTTATTCTACTCTCTGCCAAAAGAATTTGCAACCAGAGAACATTTCTCTTTAAAAATTACTTGAACGGGGGCCTCCCTGGTGGCGCAGTGGTTAAGAACCTGCCTGCCAACGCAGGGGACACGGGTTCGAGCTCTGTCTGGGAAGATCCCACATGCCGCAGAGCAACTAAGCCCGTGTGCCACAACTTCTGAGCCTGTGCTCTAGTGCCCGCGAGCTACAACTACTGAGCCCAAATGCCACAACTACTGAAGCCCACATGCCTAGAGCCCGTGCTCTGCAACAAGAGAAGCCACCGCTGTGAGAAGCCTGTGCACCACAACGAAGAATAGCCCCCGCTTGCCGCAATTAGAGAAAGCCCTCGCGTAGCAATGAAGACCCAACGCAGCCAAAAATAAATAAATAAAATAAACTTAATAAAAAAAAGATTACTTGAACGGAAATTCCCTGGCAGTCCAGCGGTTAGGACTCCATGCTTTCAATGCCAAGGGCCTGGGTTCAATACCTGGTCAGGGAACTAAGATCTCACAAGCTGCGTGGTGCAGCCAAAAAACAAACAAACAAAAATTACTTGAACTACCTGGGGAAAGTAAGTCTGCTAGGGTGAGTGATGGGTCCCCCAGAGTAAGGTCCTCTTCATTCTGCATCCAGGTGTGCCCTGACTATTAGGCTCTTTACAGACCATTCATCCTAAAGAAAAGCCTGCCAATCAGCAACCTCAAAGAAGTCAACTGAGCCCAGTTATCCTTCCTGTTCACCTATTCAAGGAAGAAACAAACAGAAAACAATGCTCTAAACCTCCACAATCTACCTAAGGAAATCAGTCCAGTCACCAGCTAAGCTTTCACATTTAAAAGGAAAACCATTGGCACAAGAATGAAAGCCCAAAATAAAAGAGACAAATTTACCCCAGAGGAAGTAAGATAATTCTGGATTGCTATAAACAAGTGCTATCAAGAGAGGTACAGCAAAAGCTTTCCAAGCTTCCTTTTAGACTATGAGTATAGGTATCTGAATTATAAGAAATAAAATTTTTTCTCTTTAAAGAGCACCCTAAAATTTATATATTAAACATGTACAGAGTGCAGAGTGGTAATTCTAAGAAAAACTAAATTTACAGCTAAAAACGCTCTCTCTGCAATATTAGTTTCTACCTATCAAATGACAGTCTCTTTAACAGATGGGAGAGTTAGGAGAGTACTCAATGCAGTGGTACCCTAACATTAAAAAGACTTTTCAGAACTTGAAAATTAAGCTAAGTGAAAGAACATCAAACACAAAAGATCATATATTGTGTGATTCTATTTGTATGAAATGCCCAGGATAGGCAATTTCATAGAAATGGAAGGTATAGGAGTAAGTGCCAAGGGCGATTAGGCAGAGAAAAGGGAGAGAAAAGGGAGCGATGACCAACAGGGAGGAGTTTCTTTTGGGGGTGATAAAAATGTTCTAGAATTAGAAAGTTTGCACACCTCTGAATATACTAAAAAACACTGAATTGTATACTTTAAAACAGTGAATTTTATAGTATGTGAATTATATCTCAATAAAGCTATTATTTAAAAAAAAGACTTTTCAGAGAAAAAAGGCTCTGGTTCCAAACCAATGTTTGGCAAAGCTTATACAGGAAAATTTTGTTAATCACTTTCACAAATGACTGACCAACCTTAAAGAAAAGACTATGCCAGGACTTGTTTTAATCTAAATAGGTGAAAACTCTTTCTGATAATTCTGAATAAAGCTTTCAAATGATCACAAACTGTTTAACTTCATAACGAGTTCTGGTCTTATTTTCTTAATAACTTTCTTCATTAAGCAGTTTTTCTTAAGTGCTTGGCATATAGTAAATGCTATTAAAAATAATTTAACAAACATTTCTTAGTACGCAATTTATCTTGGAACATTCACATTCTGAGATCATACATTTACACCCTAGAAGCATTCCTAGGAGGTTTCTCAGATAGTGAGCCCTTCTTGTGGTATTCATGCATTTTGTTTTCCATAAGATTTTTTTTAGTTTATCAAAGCTTTGTAACTTAAACCACAAATTTAAAGAGAGTCCAATGAATACTTGGCAAAAAATATATATATATTTTGTGTGTGTGTGTGTGTGTGTGTGTGTGTGGTACGTGGGCCTCTCACTGTTGTGGCCTCTCCCGTTGTGGAGCACAGGCTCCGGACGCACAGGCTCAGCGACCATGGCTCACGGGCCCAGCCGCTCCGCGGCATGTGGGATCTTCCCAGACCGGGGCACGAACCTGTGTCCCCTGCATCGGCAGGCGGACTCTCAACCACTGCGCCACCAGGGAAGCCCGGCAAAATATTTTTTAAGGTTGCATATTATAAAGAAACTTTAGAGCAATTTGCTCTAAAGGTATATTGTTCTTCACAGTGGAAAAAATGCAAAGTGACTTGCAATTCTCTTTACAAACCATTTAGGACATAAGTGTCTACAGCAAGAAAGATAAAAAGCATTTGACAAAATAAAACATCCTTTTATGATAAAAATTCTCAACAAATTGGCATAGAAGGAATGCACCTCAACATAATAAACACCACATATGACAAGCCCACAGCTAACATCATATTCAACAGTGAAAGGTCGAAAACTCTTTCTCTAAGATCAGGAACAAGACAAGGGTGCCCACTCTCACCAATCCTATTTAACATAGCACTGTTAAGTTCTAGCCAGAGCAATTAGGCAAGACACACAAAGAAAACACATTCAAATCAGAAAGAAGTAAAATTGCCTCTGTTTGTACATGATATGATCTTATACACAGAAAAATCGTAAAGACTCCACCAAAATACTATTAGAACTAATAAACAAATTCAGTAAAGTTGCAGGATACAAAAATCAATATACAAAAATCAGTTCCATTTCTATGCCCTAAAACAAACTATCAAAAAGAGAAATTAAGAAAAGTCCCATTTACAATAGCATCAAAAAGAGTAAAACACTTAGGAATAAATTTAACCGAGGAAATGAAAAATCTGTACAGTGAAATCTATAATATTTTGATGAAGAAACTGAAGAAGACACGAATAAATGAAAAGACACTCATGTTCATGGATCAGAAGAATTAATATTGTTAAAATGTCCATACTACCTCGAGCCATTAGAGATTCATTGCAATCCCTATCAAAATTCCAGTGGAATTTTCCACAGAAACAGAAAAAAAAAATCCTAAAATTTGTGTGGAAACACGAAAGACCCCAACTAGCCAGAGCAATCCTAAGAAAGAACAAAAACTGGAGGTATTTACTTCCTGATTTCATACAATAATACAAAGCTGAAGTAATTACACAGTATCATACTAGTACAAAAACAGACACAGACCAATGGAACAGAACCAAGAGCCCAGAAATAACCCTTGCATATAAAGTCAACCAATATTTGACAAAAGGGCCAAGAATATTCAGTGGGGAAAGAACTCTTCAATAAATGGTAGTGGGAAAACTGGATAACCACATGCAGAAAGACATTGGAACCCTATTTTACACCACTCACAAAAATTAACTCAAAATGAATTAAAGACATAAACATAAGACCTGAAACCATAAAACTCCTAAAAAAAAAATAGGGAGAAAAAGCTCCTTGACATTTGTCTTAACAACAATTTTTTGGATATGACACCCAAAGCACAAGCAACAAGGCAAAAATAAACAAGTGGGACTGAATTAAACTAAAAAGCTTCTGTATAGAAAAAGAAACAATCGACAAAATGAAAAGGCAACCTACAGAATGGGAAAAAATATTTGCAAACCATCTATCTGATAAGGGGTTAATATTCAGAGGGCCTGAATAGACATTTTTCCAAAGAAGACACAAATGGCCAACAGGTACATTAAAAGGTGTTAAAATCACTAATCATTAGGGAAATGCAAGTCAAAACTATAATGAAACATCACCTCAAACAGAATAGCTATCAGCAAAAAGACAAGAGATAACAAATGCTGGCAAGGATGTGGAGAAAAGGAAACCCTCGTGCATGGTTGGTAGAAATGTAAACTGGTACAGCTACTATGGAAAACAATATGTATGTTCCTGAAAAAATTAAAAATATAATTCAGCAATCCTACTTCTTTTCTAGGTATATACCAAAAAATATAATTCAGGGCTTCCCTGGTGGCGTAGTGGTTAAGAATCTGCCTGCCAATGCAGGTGACATGGGTTTGAGCCCTGGTCTGGGAAGACCCCACATGCCACAGAGCAACTAAGCCTGTGCGCCACAACTACTGAGCCTGCGCTCTAGAGCCCACGAGCCACAACTACTGAGCCTGCATGCCACAACTACTAAAGCCCGTGCGCCTAGAGCCTGTGCTCCGCAAAAAGAGAAGCCACTGCAATGAGAATCCCAAGCACCGCAACAAAGAGTAGCCCCCACTCGCCACAACCACAGAAAAGCCCGCATGCAGCAACGAAAACCCAACGCAGCCAAAAATAAAATTAAACAAAATAAAATAAAAATATTTAAAAAATATATATGTATATAATTCAGCAATCCTACTGCTTTTCGGGTATATATCAAAAAAAAAAATGAAATCACTATCTTGAGATATCTGCATTCCCATGTTCATTGCAGCACTATTCACAATAGCCAAGAAATGGAAACAAGTCAAATGTCCATCAATGAATGAATGGATAGAGAAGATGTGGTATACATATATTTATATATATTCAATGGAATATTATTCATCCATGAGAAAGAAAGAAATCCTGCCATTAACAATATGTATGGGGCAGGGCCTTGAAGGCATTATGTTACATGAAGTCAGACAGAGAAAGACAAATACAGTTCACCCTTCAACAATGTGCTGGTTAGGGGCGCTGACCCCCCATGTGGTTGAAAATAGTCATCCCATGGTTTCCTCAAAGGACTGGTTCCAGGACCTGCCTCGGACACCAAAATCCTCAGATGCTCAAGTCCTATTGTTGGCCCTTAGTATTCGCAGTTTCACATCCTCGGATTCAACCAACTGCAGATAATGTAGTATGTATTTATTGAAAAAAATCCACATATAAATGCACCTACACAGTTCAAACCTATGCAGTTCCAGGGTCAACTGTACTGTATGGTATCACGTACATGTGGGATCTAAAAAGACCAAACCCATAAAAACAGAGATTTAGAATGGTGAGTGCCAGGAACTGGGGGTGGGAAAAATGGGGAGATGCTGGTCGAAGGGTACAAATGTCCAGTCAGAAGATGAGTAAGTTCTGAGGATCTAATGTACAGCATAGTGACCCCAGTTAACAATACTACATTATATGCTTGAAAGTTGTTAAGAGAGTAGATCTTAAACGTTCCCAACACAAAGAAAAAAAGGTAATCATGTGAGGTGCTGGAGGTGTTAACTAACCTTACTGTGTTCATTATTCCACAATATATGTGTATCAAATCATCACTTTGTACAGCTTAAACTTACACAAAGTTATATGTCAACTATATCTCAATAAAGCTAGAAAAAACAGAAAGATAACCCTGTCTATATAGAATAGTAAAAAGAAGAGGAAATAGCTTCTTCATAAAACAAGTAGATATGTTCTGTGTGTTGCAAACTTACAAGTATAAAAATATAAGGAAAAAGATGAACAATTCGGGAGATGATACTGTGAGCAATAGCTAAAATATACATATACAGAAAAATCTTGAGACAATGAAAGATTATGGTCAGTACAGCTTTAAAAAAGGCAGAATCAAGTTTTAGGGTACAGGGTGTTGGAACACCTAAAGCTTTCCACACTAGAGCTTGAATTCACACATCAATTACAGATGTGTGATACTATCGATATGAAAAAGGACAGCATTAGTATCCAAAATCTACCATAAAAATGAAATAATTCTAAGACAAAATTGGCCATATGTGGTTTTTTAAAGCTGTTTCAAGTAGAAAAAGATGACCACTTTGCAATCTTCCCTTTGGATAAAAAATTTAAATCTCAGTGGAAAACAAATTACCCATAAATCTGTAATTCAGTGATCACCACTCCTTACACATTAGTGTATTTATATCTAGTCTTCTTTTCCTCAGCCTAAATACTTACATAATATACCACATACATGTTTTTCTTTATTACAAAATTACAAGCATACTCTCTATATAAAACCTACATACTACTTTTTTCGCTTAACATATGTTCCCATGTCATTAACAATTATTGGAAACATGTTTATGGCAATATAATACTTCAAATTATGGATGTTCCATATCCATAATTTTTGAGTCTGATCTTTGAGTCCGATCATTTCCTTGGAAAAAATATCTAGAGGTATGATCTCTCAGCTAAAGAATCTGAATATGTTTAAGACACTTGATATAAGGTTAATTGCTTTCCATTGAGACACTTATATGCCTCACCCATAATCCACAGTGTATGAAAGTGCTTATCTAAAGTTTGTGTTTACATGTCCACCTCTCTAAAGAGACTCTAAGCTCCTGTGGGAACTTATATTCATGGTATATTCATCTTTGTATCCTGGTATCTTATCATCTTTGTATCTCTGTATCTATCTACAGAGTTGATACTCAATAAATGGCTACTGAGCTGAATTATAGCACAATGGCAAAACTGTATTCTCCACCTAAAAAGAATAAGAAATCCTCATTAGGAACATACATGTCCTACCTCTGCTGCTGAAGCAAAAGAATCGGTTGATGTGACACTCAAGGTGTCTCTCAGGCCAAAGTCATCCATATTCCCCTTCATGGTGATATCTGTATCTTTATCTTAAAAGAAAAGGTGAAAAGTTCAGAAATTGACATTCCTTGTCATTGCCATATTTCATATTCTATGGTTGGTTTTTCTTTTTCTTTTTTCGTTTGAACATCAGTCTTTATTTAGAATCCTGGAATCTAAAAGGAAAACAATACAAATCAATGGGATATAACCTGACAAGACTCTCAAAGTGCTTCAAACTGATTCTGAACACTGCCAAGAAGAGGAGAAAGTACTATAAAGGAGACATGTTTATTTTTTAAAAATATTAAACTATTTCATATTTTAAAAGCTTTTGAGTAAATAATAACTTAAACTGGTATATAATAACTGGAGTTGGATTATCTACCAGCTATCAGCATATACCACAGATAGCCTGAAACAGAGCAATTTAAGTTGCAAGTGGCCTTGCCCAAATCGGGATAACTGGTAGGTTCATTCAAATTAAATGAATTATTTGCATAAAATGTTGTCTGGCCAGTCACTTGTGATAAACTGACCAATTAAAATAATTCAGGAAGATATCTTCAGTCTCTAAGGTCTACTTTAAAACACTGAAAGGCCCAAAATGATCTGGTTTAGGTCCCTGATGTTTATTCTGCTTACTTGAGGATCAAATATAACTGCCCCAATGATTTTATTTTTATTTATTTATTTTTTGGCCACACTGTGGCGGCTTGTGGGTCTTAGTTCCTCAACCAGGCACTGAAACTGGGCCCCTGGCAGTGAGGGCACAGCGTCCTAACCACTGGACTGCCAGGGAATTCCTCCCCAATGATTTAAAGTGTTGAAAAATTTTAAAGGCATTTGTAAATGGCTAACATGACCATACCAAGACAGGCTACCTATTACCAATACAAAGCATTCTGAACGTCGATGTCAATATCTTCACATACTATCATCAGGAATCTAACTGTTAACATTACATTTTCAATGGTACAGCTACTATGGAGAACAGTATGGAGGTTCCTTAAAAAACTAAAAATAGAGCTACCATATGATCTTGCAATCCATTCCTGGGCATATATATGGAGAAAAACATGGTCTGAAAGGATACATGCACCCCAATGTTCGTTGTAGCACTGTTTACAATAGCCAAGACATGGAAGCAACCTAAATATCCATCAACAGAGGAATGGATAAAGAAGATGTGGTACATATATACAATGGAATCTTATTCAGCCATAAAAAAGAATGAAATAATGCCATTTGCAGCAACATGGATGGACCTAGAGACTGTCATACTAAGTGAAGTAACTCAGAGAAAGAGAAATATCTTAATGATATGGCTTATATGTGGAATCTAAAAAGAAATGATACAAATGAACTTATTTACAAAACAGAAACAGACTCACAGACTTAGAGAAGGAACTTATGGTTACCAGGGAGGAAGGGTGGGGGGAAGGGATAGTTAGGGAGTTTGGGATTGACATGTACACACTGCTGTAGTTAAAATGGATAACCAACAAGGACCTATTGATTGGCACAGGGAACTCTGCTCAATATTATGTAACAACCTAAATGGGAAAAGAATTTGAAAAAGAATAGATACATATATATATATATATATATATATATATATATAT